TGCGACTGGGATATCCTTGTCCGGGCCGGCAAGCGCTCAAAGGTGAAATCTGCCTCCACTGTGGCGGGCTCGACCTGCATCTTCTCGCCGTCCTCGAGGAGATCGGCCTTTATCTCATCCTCGTCCTCTGGGGGTTCGGGCTCTGCTTCGATCACCTCGATAGTTATCTCGTCAGGGGCCTCATCCATCCGCTCGCTATCATCAAACAACTGCGTGTGAGGCTCGGCGCTCATGGGAGGTTCAGCGTCCTTGTCTTCGACTTCTTCCACTATGGCCGTATCTGGACTTTCGGGAGAGCAGTCCGACTGGGGCTGCGCTGGCGATGTTCGCTCGACCTCCATCGACGTCTCTGCTGAAGTCTGTGGCTGCGAGTCGGGAGCTGCATGTGCTTCGGCCGCTGTGCCGGTTCGATGCGCCGGATCGAGGTCGGCTGGTGACTGAGAGCCAGAAGGCTCAGCGATGGTCTTCGTCTTTTCCACCCACGCCGCCCAAACCGCCCTCACCCTCCTCTCCACACTCTCCGCCTCGCCCTCCACCTCCCTCACAAGGGCCCTCCGCCGGCCCTTGACCTCCGCCACGCCACGGCTCTCCACGGCATCCAGTGCGGTCAGCAGCCGACTGAGCTCCTCGAGATAGGCGTGCAGCGGCGCGTTGCCCGGCGTGTACGCAAGGTCCGGGCGCGTCGGCTCCGCGGCGTCATCTGCGTCCGGGCGCGTCGGCTCCGCGGCGTCATCTGTGTCCGGGCTGGCTTGCGTTGCGCTCGCTAATGCATCCACGTCCGCGCGGACCGCGATCTGCCCGCCACCGGGCACGACGAAATCAAGCGCGGCGGGGAAGACGAAGTTTGAGCGCAGGCCGGCGAAGCGCGTGCGGAGGCCGGCGATGGTGCGGAGCGCGTTGGCGCGTGCGGCATGCGCGCGGTACGTCTCCTGGATCTTGCGCGCAGCGGCATCCTGCTGCGGCGTGTACTGCTGCACGTGCTGAGGCGCGGGCGAATTGGGCGGGGAATTCGTCCTCTCTTTCGGCGAAGGCGTGCGGATGGCGATGGTGTGCCGCGGGGACGTGCCTGCGTGCCGCGGGACGGGGCTGGGTGGTTGGTGCGCTGGGACAGAAGACGATCTTGTGCCAGCACCGGCAGGGTTCAGATGAGTATGCATGGCGTGCAAGGGGTTGTATGTCGGTTGTCGCCTATTCGACGGTGCGACGGTCTGTGAACGCAACGGTGTCCGCGTAGTGCGAGTGTTCTACGCACGGTCTTAGTCTACTGATCAAGCATACGCAGGGATAATATATTGGCTTACCAAGTCCCCGTCCCCAGGCAGCCAGCCGAAGCCGCGCAGGAAAGGATCATATTGGTGCGCCCGCTGACGATACAGCTCTTCTTCGTCTCGCCGCCTCTGCTCGTCGGCCAGGAGCTGCCGCATCCGCTCTTCCTTCATAGCCCGCCTCTCCTGCGCGAGCTTCCTCCGTTCCTCCTCCAGTCTTAAGCGCTCTTGCTCCCTCTCCAGCTGCTCGCGCCTCCTTTGCTGTTCCGCCATGACTCTCCGCTGGCGGGCGGCGGGCGACATACCGTATCCGTAGCTGCCATACGGAGAGGCGCTGTACGCGCCGTCGTAGGAGTCATTGTCCTCGTGAGTGCCGTCGTCGTCAAAGTAGTATGAGTTGTACGGCGTGTAGGCCTGACGCGCCGCGCGCGCACGGGCAGCACGCTCGCGGACCTCTTCTTGTGCGCGGCGGGCGGCGAAGTACTGCTCGCGCGCCGCGCGCTCATCAGCGAGGGCCTGCAGGTAGTCTTGATCGGGTGAGTATACAGGCGCGGCGCGCGAATATGCGTATGGGTTGGAGTAGTCTCCGTACGGGTTATAGCCGAACATGTTGTAGGATGTTATGGGTAGCGGGTCAATAGCGTGCGGTTGTGGATGCGCCTTGTAACTGCGATTATTAATATATGGTAGGGTGGAGATTCGGGGCAATTCGAGGACGAGCCTGGCGGTGGAGACGCTTATAGAAACGTCGGGAGCGCCCATATATGGAGCGCGCGATGTCGAGACAACGTCCCCCGCCCATCATGCGCCGCTAGCCCAGTCGCTAATAGGGCATGTGCTAGAACGTTCCAGCGTTCGCCGCCGCGACGCCGCGACAGGAACTTAGGAAGGACCGCCCGACTGACTTAACATATATAGTACCTCATGTACGCGACCGAGATTTGCAACTGCATAGTCGCTAAAGTCGATCAATGGTCCGAGCATAGTTGGGACGGTGCCGGTGTGTACACACCTTCACGCCATTAATTTACTTTGAGCGGGTATTGCTGTCTATCCTAGTACATCGTCATCGTGAGCATAACCCCGTCGAGGTCTGTAAGAGCCTGTCGGATATAACACTGCATATCGGTCTTCATCATCAAAATAGCACGATGTGCTGAACGCTCTGAGATCAGCT